TAGCCGTTGAAAATCAAGAGATTGATTTTTCCTTACCAACGAGTAGAATTTCTTCATTCAGGACTTAGATAATTTTTCTAAGTCTTTTCTCACTTGTCCGCTTTCTGAGAATTCCAGTCTTCAGTGAGTCTTCCGATTCTTAGCTGACAAATCCGGATGAGTCATTTTCAGACTTCCGGGTGAGAAGGAGATCCGCGCTAGTCTTCCGATTTGGATGACTTAGACTTCAGCGGGTTGTAGCGAGACATCCGGTTCTTATGTAGTCTTCCGGATCAGAGGATTTTCGTTTGCTTGAGAAAATCCTTACTTGTCTCTGACATTTCCGAACAAGATATCCGATTTCCATATCACTGAATTTGATTAAGTCTTCAGGCATCAAAACTCTTAAAGAAATATCATAGCTTTTATTGGAAATCTCAAGTGCTCGGTTTTGACAGTATTTCTAAAAAGAAAAATTACATTGAATATTGGGGGAGACCTAAAGTCCCTAATACATTCTAAATACATCATCATCAAAATCTATAATATTTTTCCCAACACCTTTTCTTTTTCCTGTTGTACTAAACTGTTTCCTTTGGTAGAATCACATGCATTCTTTGACCCTAAATTCGCTTTAAAACTATCATGTTCAAAAGCACTCGATTTTGGTGGTTGAGAAGGAGACATGAAAGAATCAGTAGACATTGGAACATAGGCTTGTGAAGGCCTAGGTTCACCCACATCTCTTTGAGAAAATACTCTTTTACTCCTTGATGACTTCAACAAGTTTAAAAGGCAAGTATAAATTAGAACCACCATATGTAAAGTTTTGATCAAATTTCATTAAACTTGAATTTGGCAATTAAACATGACAAACACTTACCGACATTGTCATTGTTTGTGTTTTCAGTCCACATTCCATTTCGTTGAGCTGTTTTGATGAACTTAAATCTCTTTCTTGTAGGTGATCATAAAAAATATGATTAGGAAATGTTAAAATATAAAATAATTACATGACGTCAAGTACCACTGACCTATTTGTCCATACCTGCAGCATTAGAGTTGAAATGGGCACCACATGATAAATGTGAAACATGTCTTGAACCAAAATTGGTGGGTGTACCAGGCATTGAGCCTTCAAGAGAACCATCTTTCGTAAGCGGTGGTTTATGGATCGAATCATGAGGACGGAATGTGTTATTCCTTGATCCTTCACGATAGTCGCTCTTTGTTATCGATGTATCATGTCTCAATACTTCATGAAAGTTATACATCCACGCGCCAATCACTATCATTGCGTCGTGGCAGATTAAAAATGGTTTCCACCCCTCCAAAATACCTTGAACAGAAAGTTATACATTCGTGCGCAATGTATCCTTCTGCTATTGAACCCTCTGGTTGCGCCCTATTATGTACAAGTCCTTTAAGGAATGCAAGATACCTATGAGGACCATAAATAAAATTTATATTAGACTAGAAGTATATACTGTACGAAATATAAAAGAAGAGTAATCACTTTAACCTTTCTATCGGGTACATCCATCGATAAAAAACGGGACCTCCAAGCTTTGCTTCATCGGCCAAGTGAACAATTAGGTGGACCATAATGGTAAAGAAATATTTTTGTCGTCATTCGTAGCTTCGTTATTGTGATGTTCGTTCATAAAGTCATCATCTATCACAAACTCATCATCTATCCCAAGAAGAGGGTCCACCTCATTATATGAGTTTGTTGCATGAGCATTTTCATTATTTCCCGAATTACGCGCCCCAAAAAGATCATTGAAAAGTGCAGTGGTGTTGATATTATCATCAAAGTTTGCATTAGTACTTGCACCGTTGTGGTTTGGAATTGGGTGTGTTGAAGTGCTTGGTGTCCAAATTTGTTCCCCATGATGCACCCAGTCTGTGTAGTTAGGCCAAAACCCATTAAACATGAGGTGGTGTGTGACTTCATCTCTATTAAACCAATGATTGTGCCCAACTTTACAGTGATTGCAAGGACAAACAATCATGTTACATTTTCCAGCATTGGCAAAAGCAAAGTCTACAAATGCTTGAACTCCGGTTATATATTCATTGGATAACCTGTTCATCTTAATCCAAGTTTTGTCCATTTCAAAAAGATGTAACACCTAACAAACAAAAATTAAACCAATAATGTCAATGTCTAGAGTTTGAAAACTTTCTTGTTCAAACCATATATAGGTACTTACATATATGTTCAAATTTCATGATGGGGTTATTTAAAGTTTTTGGTTTCTGTATTGGTGGTTCTTAGAATTAAGTTGGGTATGTAAGAAGTTCTTTCTCATACAACATTCAAGAAAATAACATGGAAGTGGCAATTAAAATGATTTAAGTGATTTCTGCTTTATTGATTATCCTTTTTTTAATAAAAACAGTATAAAACATGCATTGATGTTCATTTTTGTAATCATTTAAAATATTAGAATCTTTTAAAAAAATCAATACAAAACATCGATTTGATCATTTAAAAATCACTACTCCCCCTCATGCCCTCCACTTTTTGAATGACCCATCATTTATTTTCTCAAAATGGAGAAGATAATGATCAACCACATTCATCTCTAGGGTCCTATCAAACATTAATCAATTTCGTTTAGGAGGGGATAATCTTAAGTGGCATGCATAACATGTGAAGTAAAAGAATGGAGGGGTATAACACCTGAATGAATGAAGGGGGCCGAACGATTTTGAAGAGGAACGATGCTGATATGAACACTTGAATCTCGCCGAACGATTGAGAAGACGAAAGGGATAAGCAGTTTAGCAATCAGTTGAGCAGCCCAACACAAGTCATCAACTGCACTCAAAAAGAAATTTAATCACTGGTTTTAGATACGATTAATCAATTCAAGCTGAATTAACCCTTAAAATTTTGGAATTTGTTTTTGTTAAGCCTGAAAAATAGCATAAAAAATTCAGAATGAATAAGTTTTTCAAAATAATGGTAAATCTGAAAAGTAGTCGCAATCACTAGGATAAAAAGTGAAACCCAATACTGAATTATAAATATATGTTAAGAATTACTAATATGGATAAACTTTAACCAAACAACAGTTCAATACTGGGTTTTGGATATAGAAGCATATGAATCCACAGATTTAGGAACAGCAGTAACAGGCACAGGTTTCCAGATCAGATAACAATCACTAGGATCAAATTCTACAATATAGAATAGCAATTTACCCTCTCATATAGTCATATATTAAAGCACTTGGCCACAAAACCAATCTAATTTCAAGAGGTAAAAGGAAAATACATACCTAAATGAATCTATCAGGTCGTATGATTGAGAAGACGATGATGAACGATTCAGGAAGAGGAACTCGATCTGGCCAAGCAATGGCAAATACAATGCTGAAGGACTGAGAGCGCAGCTGTTGGTCGAGGTCGTAGATGAATTGGCCGGATCGATCAGGAGAGGAAGATGCAAGTTGAGGTTTCAGATCGATTAATTAGGCGGGTGGATGAAAAAGTATTGCGCCAATTTTTCGTTGAAAAAATTTAGTTTTTAAGGAGTAATATAATTAAACTTTTTCAAATCCTAATTTAAGGAGTAATATAATTAGGTTGAATAATATATAATGTGTTATGAAATGAGAGAAAAACTACTCAGAGATTATGAGAATAGATATAATATATTTCTAATTTCTTCTCTCTATTAACTCTTCACTCTTCTTCTTATTCTTAATGGTGATTACAATGCAGGGATTAAACCTCTATTTATAGTGGAGAGGCTTAGTATGATTACAAATACAAGTGGGTAGGACTGTACTAAATTGATACTCATCAATGAGTGTCTTAATCTACTATTCTAGAAATTAGGCCTGATTAATTGAATAAATGAACAATCAATAATTTCATAACACTCCCCCTTGAATGTTCATTTTTCAATTAATGATGGGTACTTCGTAAATGGACATAGTTTAGTAACTCATTCTAATTTTATGTACTGCCTCATTAAAAACCTTGTCAGGAAAAACCCAGTGGGATAAAAACCTGATCAAGGGAAAAAGAGTACAGTTCATAAAATTCTCCACCTCAGCTTAGCATAATTAACGGAGGCGACGCATGCCAATCTTGTGTACGAGTTCTTCAAATTTCTTCGGGGCAACGCTTTTGTAAATAAATCAGCAAGGTTCTCGCTGGACTTGATTTGCTTGATGTCAACCTTTCCATCTTTCTCGAGATCATGTGTTGAGAAGAACTTTGGTGATATATGCTTTGTTCGGTCTCCTTTGATGTAACCTCCTTTCACTTGAGCAATGCATGCAGTATTGTCTTCATATATAGGAGTCGGATGACTAGTAATTGTTTCCATACCGCACCCGCTCTGG